AATACCAAAATCATATCGTTGCTTTTGTACAAATCACAAAAATATTTTAACTAGAATTCAAAACTGTAATTGTAGACTTTATTTGAAAGTGATTTTAACACTTTCTGCTCTTAACAATTTTGGTGACCCTATTCTTTCCCACAATGTTTCGTCCTCACCATGCCCCAGCCTCACTGCACTGGCTTTTATTTGTACTATGTGTCAATCATAAACCCACATTTGGTTCTTTTTATCATATTAGCTTATCGTTTAATTTAAAAGGGATATCTGAGCGCACAGCAGTGCTCCGGCCAAGTTCCAGCAATGCCAGTGTATCTTTACAAGAACCAATTAACCCAAAAAGGGTGAATTTCTAAATTTGCATTTTTGTTACTGACTCACTTATCATCAAAATTATAAGACACTTCCCGTATAGGTGGAAACGGGAAATTTGGCACAAGGTGGGTCTTATAATGTAAGTTAAGGGAAAAAATCTGAAAATTGCAATTTTCTCAAAATTAATGTGCTAGGTGGGAATTAATGACCTTCACCGCGCTACAGCCAGTACAGGGCGCTGTTGATGCCAACATCTCTAGTCAGACATAATTTGTTCGTAGTTTGTGTCTTTGTTAATTCATGTTCACGTGTATGGTAGTGTAGCAGTGTTCTTTGTTTTTGTTACGTTTGTCGCGTGGTTTATTATAAAGTGCAATTGTAGACATAAACGTTTAGGTTTAGTTTATACGTTTATAATACTAAACTAAATTTATAGTGGCTACTTGTATAAATTCTAGCTTCACTACAATAAACTCTAACAATTTGAAAAACAAAAATGTTGAGATAATTTAGATAATTTAATGCTCCTAACATTTAAATAATTCACCCCTTCCCCTACAAAACTAAGAATATCACCAAAAAAAAAAAAAACATTATTTTTAACTTAAAATTACAGTGCTCTACAAATTTTTAAAATTGTCAATTTAGTTCCAAATCCGTATTGAATGTTTTTCAATTTCATTCCAAATTTTTATTTTATCTTTAAATTTAAAACTGCTGATAAACGTTGATAAGCCAAAAAGATATTACAAACTATTTCCTTAGAAAAGGTGTGAAGTTTTAACGTTAAAGGAATAAAAATTAGACCAAAAGTAGATGTAAAATGTTCTTATAAAATACAACATAAAATATTCTCAAAAATCATTAACTAAACTTTATTTTTACTATGGATAAACCATAAAAAGGGAAGAAATTACTATTTGACCTTTTGAAAATAAGTCCTTAGTATTGTTATCACATTATACAAATATAAATGATGATCAACCCTAATACTAAAATTATATTTTAAGGCTCATTATCGAAAATGCTTTTCAATTTGCTGATACAAATTAATGTGATTATGTAAAAGTATTTTCTAGCTATACATATCTAATAACCCTAACCTATTCGCTAAATCTTTTAATTCTAATTAAAATATTTGTATTGTATAAATTATTGGGATATCAGGGTTTTACAATAGTGCTACAAATTAGTTCAAACATTTGAATTAGTTCCTACATAAACAACAAAACAAAATACGCTAAAATACGTTATTATTCGATAAACAACAACCGTAAAATTTTGTAAGATATTGTTTTTATATTTTGCTAGTACGCGCCATAGACATTTTAAACATAAGTAATACAATATAGCTATGAAAAAAACATCTGCAGTGGCCTATATACAATAACAAGATTTTCGAAATCTAAAACAAATTTTTGAACAGTTATGGCTTATGTATCATAAAACAAATAATAACAAGCAAAACACAAATTGAATATTCTACTTTAAAACGAATATCCCTTTTAAGTTAAACGATGAGCTACCATGATAAAAAAACAAAATGTGTATTTATGATTCAAGATAAGAACATAAAAAAGCCAGTAAAGCGGGGTCGGGGCGTAATTGGTATGAATTATTGGGGAGACGGGTTGGTCACAGGTCTACAAAAGTTATTATATCAGAAAGTGATAAAATCATTTTTAAATAAACGCTTCGATGTGAATTTTCCCTTAAAAAATGTATAATGAAAAAGTATTTTAAATTATGGCCCAAAAAATGTTGACAATCTTGAGTACATTTTTTACAGTTATCGGTATTTTTATAAAACAAAAAAAAATATAGATTTTGAGATATTAACAGAAAGTAGTATAATAACCTTCAATTTAACGTTTTGTTGCAATTTGTAAACATTAGACATAACGTTGGCACGTTTCTACTGTGGTGGTGTGTATTGTGCTTGATTAGACTATACTGGCTTGAACTAACTACACACAGATTCACAGCAAAGCGAAAGTGATTTTAATACTTTCAGATACAATAAAACGTCATCGTGTTTACAATGCTCTATCCCCACTATACCCCAACCTACTTAACTGGTTTTTTTTTTAAACATAATAATTATTGTTTGAACGAAATATTGTTGATTTTATCACTTGCTGCTCTAATAATTGTTGTAGACCTGTTACCCACCTGTCCCAACTATACCCCGACCCCACTGTGCCGGTTTTTTTATGTTCTAGGTGTTAATTATAAAAACACAATTAGTTTTTTTTTTATATTGCCTTATCATTTAAGTTAAAAGGGATATTCGTTCTAAAGTATATTTGTATGATATTATTTTTATATTTTGTTCGTATGCGCCATAGGCATTTTTAAACTTTGAGCCCGATTCGTACAATCGTCGTGCATTGAAATACATAGTAGTACTAATTATAAATGTTTTAGATAGGGTAACTTTATAGACTTAAATGTAGGTTAACAATGTACCTATAATAAATGTACAAAGAAGTTATTCGCTTTTGGAATATCGGGGTCCTACAATCATGCAACATGTTAGTTCAAACACCTGAAGTGGTACTTAAATACACAACAAAACCAAAAAACATCTGATATTACTTTATTACAATAACAAGTTCTTCAGAAGTCGTAAACACCTTATTGAACAGCTATGGCTTATGTATAAAAAAAAAAATAATAATAATAATAATATCTAGCAAAACACAAGTTGAATATTTTACTTAAAAAAAAACCCTTTTAAGTAAAATTATATAGTCTTATATGAAAAAAAAACCAAAATATGTTTTTATAATTCACACCTAGAACATAAAAAAGTCAGTACAGTGGAGTCGGGGTATAGTGGAAAAGAGTAGTTCACAGGTATTCAACAATTATTAGAGCAGAAAGTGTTGTAAACACTTTCAAATAAACCTTATATATGCGAATTTGTAGACACTGGACCTCATGTTCGCACGTTCGTACTGTGTTGGTTTGTATTGTGTTTGGTTTAGTGTTATTATAAAACTTAAAATAATAATTTTTAAACTTAAAAACCTACTCGTATTTACGTTTAATCCTTAATGTCATTTTTAAATTTAAACTTTCAACGTTTTTTATATGTTAAAAACAAGTTGCTAAATAATTAAAAAAGATCTCAAGTGATAAATTGATTCTAAATAATAATCTAAATCGTGTAGATGGCTACATATAAGATTATTACTATAACATTTATAGTTACAGTCAGATTAATAAATATCATATAATATCTACATAGAGATATATTCAAAGCTTTTGTCAAAAACCAAAAAACACAAACAACTAATAAGATTCTTAAAACTTGTTTATTCTAATCGAGATCCTATTATAGCTAGCCATATAATATTATTGATACATAACTTCGATGCGGATTAAAAATTTTTTATTTGTCTTCGATTTCTTAATGTTACAAGTTTATAGATCAGAAATTATATTTGAAAAGTACCTAAATGCACTATAAATTTGAATAATTCACTCCTTCCTCTTTAAAACCTAGAAAATTACCCCAAAAATGACGTTTCAGATAGTACAATTTAATAGTATAATATTGTGTACAATTTATGTACAAAATAGTTATTCGCTCTAATTAGTGAGATATCAGGGTTTTATAAACATGCAACATAATAATTCAAACATTTGAATTGGTTCCTACATAAACAACAAAACAAAATACGCTAAAATACGTTATTTTTCGACAAACAACAGCCGTAAAATTGTGTATGATATTGTTTTTATATTTCGCTAGTACGCGCCATAGATATTTTTATCACAAATAATGCAATAAATCCATAAAAAGAACTTCTGCCGTGACATTATTACAATAACGAGTTCTTCAGAAATCAAAAACACTTTTTTGAACAGCTATAGCTTGTGTATCACAAATAAAATAAAATCGAGCAAAACACAAATTGAATATTTTTTTTTAAAACGGATATCCCTTTTAAAGTTAGTGAACATATGCAAGCTAATTATTTTCGTTGTCTGGGATTTTTTAAGGGGTTGTATCCTTTTCTTTTTTACATGACAGGCTTTAAGGGCTGATGATTGTGCGGAGAATCTTAAGCACATTTAGGATAATTATCGGTAATTTGTTAAAACAAAAAATGTTGACTTAAGATATTTGTATTTCTGCCCCTATACAGCAGTACACTATAAGGTTATAATATAAGTACAATAAACCTTAATAAATAATAGTTTTCATTAAACCTTGTGTTCTGTAATTAAGATTATTATGACTTACACCAGTATAGTTTTAAGTTTTTTAATTCTCTCAGTTATGTCATTCAACTTAAAATTACGTTTAGACTGCACGTCTGGCCAAAGAATAATGTAAGTTATAATCGTTGAACCGAACGCCATTCCGCTGGAATGACTATTAAAGTACGCCTAATGACTGCCACAAACAGACAGAAGCTGGCTTGGCGGATGAGTCACATGAATGGGATAATAAGTGTTTATGCTATAGTTTCATTTAAAACAATTATTTTATTGAAGTTAATATGTGCGTGCAATTGTATTATTCTGTGCATAAATTAGTACATTCTGTGCATAGATATATAATATAAATATAGAACATATATAATGAGTTCATTAAAGAATTAAAAATTATTATCAAACCATTTCATATTTTATTAAATTAATAACAATTATAATGTCGAATAAAACGACAGTACATTGGATTTCTTAAATTGCGGTTAAACAATGTTAGTACTTAATGGTTTAGGTGTCGCAAACTAGAATAGATTGCGTTTCATCTTTCCGCGAAAACATGTTCGGTTTGTATTGCTGTTCGTATTTGGAAAATCGGTTGAAATTTTCCGATGTTCTGAGCTTAACCAACGACTGGATCGCTTTGTAATGGATATGGGGAAATATTTTTTTTATAATTCCGATTATCACTTGGGCGCACATAATGGGCCAACTAATTGTATACACCCCCAATATTGTGAGATTGGAGCTGACTTTTATGTTATGTTGTTTAGCGCTCGCCTTTATATTGTTCTCATTGAATCTGATCCTCTCCATCGATTGGGCCGTGTAATTGACGTTCAAGGAGTCGTTTGACTCTCTGCCTAATACCGTCAACGTTTCAATTATCCGTCGCTGTGATTCGTGGATGCTCGTGTTATCGTCACCGCTGGGTTGGGCATACAGAGGATTACTTTTGGGCAAGTGCAAAAAATCACACCACTCTTTGTAGGTTTCGAAAAATAGTTTCCATGTTTTCTTCTTAAGACAAGGTTTTTCATTTTTAAACTTTTCCAAAAATGAATAATAGATCCGCAACATGATGGTGGTTAACGCTCGCATAACATGTCCGTGGAAGTCCACCAGCGACAAGACGTACTGGCCAAAAGACGTACGGCCGCTTTTGATCTCGGTAATCTTAGTCTTCAGATCATCGACCAGCCGTATCCCGTCTTCATACACTCCGAATTCCGTCAGCAGAGCGGTCGCCTCTGAAGTTTTATCGAACATGTCATTCAAATACAGCATGTTCAGTGTCAAATGTTCTTCGGCCAAAGGTTTAACCGCGTCAGAAGTACCGTCTTCCACTTGGATACAGCCCAGACTGGAGTTGTGACATAGTTCATTCCAGTGCTTGGCCAGAAGTTGCTTTACCATAACCGAAGGTTCAGGATGGACTCTACGTGTGGTTAGCGACGGTATCAAGTCGGTCAGGTATTCAGGAAATGTTTGTAAACGACTGGTCGGATGAGTGAGCAAATTGCGATTAAACATCGTGCAATCGTTCTCTGACATCGTGCAAAGCAGAACTTTATACATGCCGTAGTGCGCAGTCTGCCAGGTCGGCAGCAATTTATTGCTTTGGTTTACGGACACGTGTACATGTACCCACTTAACGAATAAAAACAGCAACCATGACACGTCCATTTCATTGTCGTTCAGAGTGACGTTGAACGCCGCCAATAACATTTTTGTCTCCCAATCTTTATACGGGTTTTCAATGTCCTTGTACAAACTGACGATTTTTCCGGAACAACTGAAGTGCTCCGGGATTGTCAGAAGCAGATAGTATATATTGTAGTACGATTCGTTGCATGTGATTTCTTTGCCAATAGCAGCAACATGTTTGGCCGGGTCCTTCTTTAGTTTGTATATAGTTACTTGCAACTCCGCCGGCCACCGTTCTTCATCGAATTGTCCTCTCATGGCCGACTTAAGATGTTCGTACCTGTCACAGTTTGTCACGTCAACAAACACCAACACGGTGATAACCGACGCGGTCCACTTCAATAGGAGTGTCATTTTTGGTATAATTACAGTTTACAGCGAGACGCAGGTAATCGAGCACTTGCTAGTACTTGTTACAAGTGTACAGCACGGGATTGACTGTGCCGTTCGTAAGCGCTTAAATGTATGAATCTCTGAATTTGGTAAAAAACATTTTAAACCGAGTAAGTAAATATACATGAGGGTGGCAGATGTATTAATATTTGTTTTTTGTTCATTCGTGCCGGTGTATCAGAATTCAAAGTGTTCGACTTACGAATGCGTCATAGCGGGCGCTGTGCAAGTCTACATTATCAAAATGAACAACATCTGTGTTGTAGTACCTACACGTGTACACCGGATTTTTATTGCCCGCTGATGATAAGATCATAAATAATAATTTTGTTACTTAACTGTTTAGCCTTTTTTTCCTATGTTTGCAAAAACTATTTCACTACTGTGCCTATTGGGGTCTAAAACATGTGTAAAAAAATAGGGGAGTACAACTTTTTTTGAGATGGGGACTGAAGAACCGTATCCCCGCCCCTTTTATTGTAAAAAAAACATATTTTCAATTGTTAATCTGTGTACATATTTAGTATAGAATAAGTATGAACAATTTTAAGATAAATAATACAGATATATTGATTTTTCAAGGAAGTACATGCATAGTTTGCAAGTGAATATTTAATTTGATGTTGATATATCTAAATACTCTGAATAATCACAAATCTGAATACCGTTTGGGATTCCAACTAAAAAACGATATGGTTTTTATTTTGTACTCTGAATTTTCGTCGTATAAAATACGCTAAAATAATCGACGAAGAGTGTAAAGAAAACACAATTTGACAGCATATTTTTTTTCTTTATTTCTCTATTTCGAGCAAAAGTTTAGGACTTGAGATCTGAGAATTTGACTGACTATCTAGTGTGGGCTGTAACATATATAATTTTCTCAAATATCTGTAAACAAATTTTTTTCAAAACAAACGATCAATCCTAATCGTAACTATATATATATTAGATTATACTACAATTTTTTGAAGTCTAAAAATTAGATGAATAAAAATCGATTATTAAGAAAATTATTTATTCATAAAAGTACAGGGTAGTATTTTTTTAATAACTTTATTATGGTTTTACTAAAATTTAAAATTTTTGTTAAAAAATGTGTTTTTATTAAACATCATTCCCCGATGAATGTAAACCATATAAATATTAGTAAAGATGATGTTTAAAAAAAAGTTTTCAAAAAGTTGTTACTCAATAAAAAATGATATTTTTTTACATAGATTTGATCAAATTTTGTTATTCATCAACAGGAAAAAATATTAAAATTGATGGATTTTTATATCTTTCCTATTTTTCAATTGATAATAGATACATGACTGACGTTTCTTAATCTACGAAGCGGATTTAATTATTTCATTTGTCTTTGATTACTTCACGTAGGAAGTCTATAGATGAGAAATCGTATTTGAGTAGTACTTTAATGCGTCAAACATTTGAATAATTCACCCCAAAAAATGACTTATTTTTCAACTTAAAATTACGGTTCTCTAAATTTTTTTAAAAATTGTTATTTTTATTCCAAATCTGTATGGAATATAAATAATATATAATAAATGTTTAAATTTTAGGATGGGAGGGGAAGTGCGGTTGATAAATGCACGCAGATAGAAATACAAATACACTCCACTTTTTCTCCTGCCCTAAACTTGAAACTTCAACAACTTCAAAAATAGTTATCCGAAACTGGTTATCGAACAGTCAAAATTTTTAGTATATTATTCTCAATTTAAAAAGTTAATAAAATATTTACGTCACCGTTTAAGTTTCAAAAGTTGCTATCAAAAAAACTAAGTTGGGAGGCAGGTAAAACAAAAAAAATGTGAAAATTGAGATTACGTTTTATAAAAACTATAGAAAAAAAAAATTAAATTATTAATATTAAACCCAGTGAGATATTGACTGGTTCGTGATAAAAGAATCATCCTGAATATAATATTCTCAACAATCTTTTATCAAACTTAATTTGTACTATGGATAATATACTGTATTGGTTTGAACTAACTATCTACGGATTCGCACCAAAGCGTTTATTCGAAAGGGATTTTAATATATGCTGTGTATATAGTAAAACTTGAAAACGTCATCGTCTCCACAATGCTCTATTGCCGCTATACTACCCTCTAAGCAAAAATTCCGTTATTAGAAAAAAAAAATTGTACTATTAAGGTACAATATGTATTTTTGTAAAATCGTAATATGGTCACCGGTCACAACAGATGTTTTTTTATTTATTTATTTTTTTTTTTTTTGAGACTTTAAGCATGTTTTATTGAAATAATATGCCTGTAACACTTGTGAAAAAAAAATATCTGTTACCTATTCAAACGGCTTCAACATATGTAAACATTAATACAACAATTTCGAAACTTTAAGCCCGATTAGAAAAATCGTCGTGCATTGAAATACTTAACAACGATAAAAAACAAAAATTTTGAGATAATTTAATGCGCCAAAATAATGTTATTATAACATAATCATAATGCAAAAATATACATGATGATCAACCCTAATCGTAGTCACTCTAATAATAAAATTGTAAGTTAAGGTGCATTCAATCAATGTATTTATTTGAAAGTAATTTCTTGTAATACATGTATTCAGCGATCGTTTTTAATTCAAGTTAAAAATACTCTCATTGAAAATAAATAACATTTAAAAGTCTAACGGTTTATTTAAAGTTTTATAATTAACTAGACGATGCGTTGAATTCGAAAATCTACTTTCAAATTTTTTTGAATTTTACAACAGTTTATTAATTATTTTTCCCTAAGTATACCTGACTAATGTTTTCCGTACTTATGATAAATTAGTCACGATAAATTATGCCGTCAGAATATGTTATTACAATACTGAATAAAATAATTTCCTGTATTTTAAGTACTTCCGAAACAAGTATACAACTAATCGTTTTTTCTAAATGGATTTTTTATTAATTTTTCAAACAGAATTCACATTAAAACACATTAAACGATGGTTTCTATAGGGTATAGATTTTATAAAAGTGTTCAGGTACTTTGTTAATTAAAAAATGCTAATTTACTATTTTGCATGTCTAGTAAATTAAGTTGCGCAAATTACTTGTTATTTATTATACTTCTATGTAAGATAATTTATTGTCTGACATTAAACACTGGAAATTGTAGCACGTCTTAGTGTATTAAGAATTTGAAACATATAATATTGAAAAATATAATTATTATCATCTACTTTGTGTTTATGTGTTATTATAGCAAATATTACTTGAAAGAATATTATTTTTAAGCTTGGTAATGAAATGTATATAGCTTACAAATCTAATCATACTTTTTTTAGTGTATTTCATTCGTAAGAAGATATGTCTGTTAAATGTAGAGTTATAATGTATTGCAATATTTTAATGAGTAATAGCTAACATAATATCACAACTACAAATAAACCGAATGTACTTTATGCATAATTCAAACATGTGCTTTGCTGAAGCAAATAAACTAACATTAAGTGACTCAACTTGAGTCATATATTTTACATAGTTAAGCGGAACTCTTATAAACACACTAAATGTACAGCAACAATGCAATTATACAATAAAATATGATCTAGTCTATGTATTGATCTATGAATGCCAAGTACGAGAGAAAAAAAGGAGTTAAACCATTAATATACATATTCTTTATGGATATCTGCAGATGTATTAATATAAGAAAATTTACATTATTTTATGTACGGTTTGTAACAAACTTAAAGACAAAAAAAGAAAAAATCATAATCTCATTATTTCTCTGTGTTTGTTTCATATGTATAGGTACAAATGATGAGTATCATACTGTATACAAAATATTACATCACATACATAGTGTAGCATACTTATCTTTTTGTCATAACGTATGGTATATAAACACAATAATTATTCCTCTGACGGGCTGTCGGATAAATCCATACCTATTTTTTTTACCGGCTAATATTGGTGTATTAAATATAGGTACTATATTGCTGACACGAGTGCACGCTTTCAAAATTAGACATTAGTCACAAGGTAGTATGCGCATAAAGAATAGATAAGAGTGTTATCAGCTATCTTTATCTGTTTACCGGGTGCGGCTTTGGATAAACAATATCGTCTTTGGGCGTTTGCACTGTTAGTTTGTCGAGTTGGCGTGTCGAAGTCAAATCCGAGTGCGGTAATTTGTTGTAGAAAAATTATTATATAATATATATTTGTGATAATAAAGAACATTGCTATGACCATAATGGCGAAATCGGCCAACACCTTAGCCGCCGCCGCTTCCAGACTGGAAAAGCACATCAACTTGCTCAAGTACACAATATTCTGCATAAGCGTCGTGGTCTGGGTAAGTACCGGATGGGGTTTTATTATAATTTGATAGTATTTAAACTACAGTTAAAAAATGTGTAGGAACCGATGAGAACTTATAGTAATTAGTATGTCTTGGAACCAATGCAATTATTTTGCTTTTGAACACAAGACTTGTTCCGTTTGATAATAATTATATTATTCGTACACGACCGCTCGGCTGTATTACATACTTCTTGGCAACATACAAAATAAGGACAAAGCAATGTCGTTCAGGCAACAAGACATGTCACGGCCGTGAAGTTAAATTGTTAAGTAAATTCATTACGGGCATAGATATATTGTACATTCGCACGTTAATAAACTTATGTACAAGTATAATTATAATAGCACACTACAACGCAGTGTATAAGATTACAACTTTATTAAACGCATATATTATAATTATTATTAAATTCTATAAAATATCGAGTCGAATAACAATAACAATGCAATATAACTTATGTAGTATTACACGCGTCTTGTGTGTGTTTCATCATTGTGGGTGTGTTTCAAAACTATAATATATTATTTATGAATCAACATGAAATTACAGAAAGATTTACAACCGAAAACCGCACTCGGTTTCAGAATATTATATAGTGTACACACTACAACATAATAATATAATACTTGGTTACAAAGACTATATAAATATATAGAGTTATCAAAATGTATGTAATATTATACGTACAACAAAAACTTTTAAGAATACAAAATAATAACTTTAATGGCTAAATATTATATAAATAAATAACAACCAATTTATTAAAAAAAAAAAACTCATCTATGGAAAATAAATAAATAATTTCCAATTAGGCGAAGAGCTGTCGAACCAGCTCGATAAATATTATATTGATTAGTATTCTGTATTTTAATTCATATTTGTAAGCGAATGATTTGTGAATAAAGTAATTATTGTTGTCCCAAAATTATGAGGCTCTCTTAAAATGGGTCATATATTTTAAAATTGTGTATTTGTGATTATGATCGATTAATATTTTTCGCGATGGGAAAATAAGTGATTTATGGCTTTATTATAAAAAAAATATAAATTAAAAAACTATCATTTTCTCTCAATCCTTTTTTTTTTTTTTTAGTAATAACTGGAATTGTGAAATCAGTTTTACTGCAATAACACACTGATTTGAATGACAAATATAATAGTTACAATGTATTTTACTAAGAATAAGATAAGTATAATATTATGGTAAAGAACACAAACATACACTTGGATAGTCAAAAATTGTTTAATTGTGTATATTTCTATACTGTCTAAATGCGTTTATACGATTCCAATATTAATACTATCAGTCTTGTGTTTGCAGTTTTGAAATTTGGTACAGTCAATAACAAGGTCAAATGTTACTGACTGGTTTGCCCCTCCCCTCCAATGACGACACACAGATCTTTATCCCCTTCTTGATAATATTATTTGATTATCTCAACGACGGTTGGTCACAATAAAACGACTCAAAATATATCTTAGCTTCTGAATTAAAAAAAAACATAAATAACTTTTTGGTACCCCTGTATACGGTTCGAGTATGTATTTTTCGTTTTTCTTTGGAAACCCGATACGACTTATGTTCTGTTCGGATCCAATAAATCGGATAAACGTTTACAGCCGATCGCATATCAGTACTTTGCTTGCTTCTTGAGTTTAAAGAAGGCACGCGTTTCTCGCATTGTGCCATTTTTATGGGCGTTGCACAAATATTTTACAGCGCTAAACTTTATGCGCTTTTGTGTGTGTGTGTATAAAGTAAACATTGATATAATGTGAACCAGTGAATTATTATCGTCGTAGCCGTTGCACAACTTTTGTCGGAAACGGTTCTCCTTGTCCGTTTATGTGGCATCGCAATAATACAACCGTCTTTGCCGTCTCCATAACTTGTAGGTTGCACGTCTTATCGATTTGGATCTCCCGGGCTTCTTAGTGCGGCAGAAAATTATCGACTCGCTGTTGTGTCGAGAAAACACTTTATCTGACTGTGTACACGATAAACCCAAAGTTTGGTTTACCTCCAGAGTTGTTTTTGGAGCTCTGCCGAGTTTTCTTTTTCAATATCTTCCACCCTTTATTGTCGTTCAATTCAACTCTCCCGGGCTGTTCAGACAATACAAACAATATAGCAATACCGTACAAATAGCGTTTTATTTTGTATTTTTGTTTTATGCAAAACTATATTATAGCGAATAACGTTTAAATCGAGGCAAATTTTATACAACAGTTACGGCAAATCGGTAGCCAGGAAGCATTCCATTCTTCTTTAAGAGCCCGTTTTCTCCGTTGACCTTACCTTAAGTGCATATTAAAACGTAGATAATAATAATAATTTCTGTTTTTGCATACAACGATGTCATTTGTTGTCCATTAACCCGAGAGACGTTACTGCTGCGAAGCCGGTGCCGGTTAAGTACATTATAATGTTAGATTGCAAGCGTAATAAGATTTGTGTATAATATTAGACCGTGCTTTGCCGTGGCCAAATGCGGTAAACTAGTCTTTTGGGAACATCAAACCGTTTAGTTAGTGCCCGCCAGATGACAATATACTCTAAGACGTCGTCGACAAAAGGACACTTAAGGATGTAACGTGCGTACCTAAGGGCCGAGGGTGAGTGGTATATTATTAAACCCGCACTTCATCATGGAACCGACAAATTCGCCACAAAGGACCGATACGCCGCATAATGACTTTATCGAGTTTATCTCAGAATAATAGCAACATTTTCGAGGGTTATCGATACGGATTGGCGTCGGTTTAAAGGTAAATCCAAATTGTTTTTTTTTTTTTCAAAACGAGACGTTTGCTGATGATGAATTGTACATCATGGATAAAAAACACACCCAAAACCAACCAACTGCTGCTCAAAATGAAACCGGAGTAGTTCGAAAATAATAATGATAATAATAATTTCAACATCTACTCAATACCGATTTAAATGTACTTTCAAGAAGAAACAATTATTATAATATTATGATATGTATTGTAAATGGCGTTAAATTGGTTAACGATAATATTATTGTTTTTGTCGAGTATATTATTATGATGATGCGATGGAATACATTTTCAAACAAGAGAATTTAGAATATCAATTTATAAATAGGGACGGTGTATACCTTAAACATAATATTACCTGCCAAAACTATTTCAGATTGCAGGCATGTAGCCAAATCACTTATTTTTAGGCCAACCCTTTTTGCGCATACAATTTCCTTTAAATAAATCCATTCGTATAAGAATGGGTGGTTTCGCTTACATTATTTTTTATCCGGCTTATGCATATGACTTATCCATCATTTTCTATTATTGTAACGTATAAAAGAATAATATATTATGTAATATACAAAACGGCTGTACAAACATGAAATCCTACATATTAGATGTAGGTACAGTCATATTATACTAATACCGTCTAACGTTTATATTGTAGGCACGGTTTGATATAGTTAAAAATCTAAATAGCTATCCCACTGTGTCATAGAGATATGTTTAAAAAAATATTAGTATTGTACACTTGGCTCTTACTTATAAAAAAAAAAATTTGAGTTTTATTATAATCATGTGGGGACATTTTAAGTATAAGAATCTGGGGGAAACTATAGTATTAAAACATCACTTAAATTCTTCCTCAATTACTGTAAAACAGCATAATAACATATTTATATAACTGATATGTACCTAAATAATCTATCTTCTTCTCGTTCTGGTTTTTGTGTTACATTTTTTTATTTTTATTACCATCAATCTATGCTAGCTTCTAAGTAAGCGATAATATTACAGCTGTCGCTTAAGAATATTATCTTCATCCCTTTTTTACCAGAAGCTAAAGGATTAGGTTACCAAAATATTATTATCACGATAATGCACGTACAATATAAAACTCCAAGTCCAAACATAACATGACGTATATAATATACCATTCGAAGCTATCCTATACAATATGAATCAAATAAATGTACCGTACGTTATGTTTTATGGGCATGTGGTTAAACCCATTGACCGGTCGTAAAAGAGCAAACTATATTATAGTAGCAGAGAAAGTCGTTTTATTTTATGTAAAGCTTTGGATTACTTTGGTAATGATTTATCATTTGATCGATAAAAATATCATTCGGTGACAATTGCTTGGGTTGCTTGCGTTCAACGGTGTCTTTTAATGAAATATGACCGTGCTAGTCGAATTGATCCCTCGGTTTATTATGTGTTCATTCCAATAAACTACCACGCCTATAAATATATATATATATATACACATCATAAACAGATCGGATCTTGTCTTGGTTTAAAATATAGATTGTACTTTAAAATAAACGGTCGCGAGCAATGATAAAAAAAAAATATGTAAATATTTATAATATTACAGTTTCGCCGAACTGTAACATAAAATATAAAGACATCATATATAACTTGCGAGGATTTTTTTTTTTAATTTGGAAATCAACGACCTCAAAGTATTTAAAGCTCTGTGTAATAACCAGACAGCTCCATTTTGTTTTTAAATTGTTCAGGAATATTAAAATAAATCCTACTTACTAACATTGACGGGAAAAAATGCGTTTTGTATTATCTTTGTAACTAATAGTTTGATTTTACTGTTTGTTCCATCATACAGTACATATAATTTTAATGGGAACAATTTCCAATGAAAAAACAATTGTTGGTAAGAACGGAGCTGTCTGGTTATTGCACAGAGCCCTTGAAATGGAAAATGTGTGTTCAAACGAGATTCGTTTATTACAGAGTAGTTTGCTTCTTATTTTTTTGTTGTTTATATCTTGTATTTTTACCCAACTGTGGAAGAACTTAACCTTCAAATGCAAAAAAATAAAACTAAATACTTTGTATCTAAGGAGCGTTTTAAAATGATTGAAATCCTTATTCGATGAAACATCAGGCGCAATGGCTAGTTTAATTGGACGTTTATCTAAACAATTTATGCATACTCTCCTACCTGCTATTATGGAATTTTACCCAAGCAAATTGAC